ATTGTTTTAGAAATTTTTCGAATTTATAATAATATTTTATGATTTATAAGTTTAATTGCATTGTTTTTAGTTTATAGGTCCTATATATGTTTCATTTATTATATTTAAGTGCTCTCCAACATACAAATATTCATATATACATGTACACTAAACATATGAGTATATATTACTTCAAAACTGTATTTTTGGCTAACATTTTTGTTTGAATATTACAAAAATTCATATGTGTGGTTATCATAATCAAACATACTATGTAACAAAAATGCATGTATACTTAAGTATTATATGTGTATCTATTTTTTGTTATAATGTATGTGTATATATAAAAGACACATACATGTATACATCAGAATTATACACATGCCTATATATATTTAAGTTTATTATATATACATATATGTGCTTACATATCACTTTAAGACTACGTATTTTTTACTGTACTATATAAAAATGCATATGTGTGCTTGTTACCTATGAATCATGATAGGAGTATATGTGTGCTTATCTAGAGCAAAACTAAATTATTTTGGAAATAGCTCAAAATGCCACCCTTTTCATAATTTTAAGTGAAAATACCACCCCTTCTCAAAAATTGTAAAACTATCACCTATAAATATATATTTATTGTCCACTTATTGCACAGATATCACTGTTACAGAAATTTTGGTCTCTCTCAGATCCCTATTCACTCTCTCTGCGTTTGCTTGCTCTCTCTCTCTCTCTCTCAGCTCTCTCTCACAGTTCTCTCTTCCTCTCTCAGTGCTTTCTCTCTCCATCGACCACCACCACTCTCTTTCTCCCTCTGTCGCAAAAACCTAAGTAGCACTCTCTCTTTCTCTCTTTGCAGTCAATGTTAGGGTTTGTTGAGGGGGTTCTTGAAGGTGAAAGAGAGGGTTTCTTCATTAAATGCTCTCTCCCTTCAACAATCTCTCAGTTCCCTCTCTTTTCATGTCTTCAATCGACGTCTTTCTCTTCTCCTCTACTCTTTCAGGGCCTCAAAAACCCTAATTCTTGGTTTCGGTTCCGACTTTTTTCACATACTTCCTCCTCATTCTCAATCCTCTCACAGATAGAATTCGAGCTTTTCTTTAGGTGTTTCTACGATTTCCAATTCGGTTCTGTGTGCAAAACGAGTATTCTAAGGTAGGTTTTGTATTTGTTATTGACTAGTTTGTCTTTTTGTATGGTTTTCATTTGAGAAGGATAATTTCACTAACCTGTGACTGATTTTGTGAAGTTTAGTAATTAGAGAGATTGGAAATTTCTGTATTTTAACTATGAATTACTTCATGCTTGGATGAAACTTCTATTGGTCTGATTGATTTTGCTCTATGGATGACGAAGTGCCTCAATTTGCTATTTGTCATCTAGGATTGGTTCGTTTGGGATGCGTGTTTTCAGTTCCATTTTATGATGCATATTTAGTTTGGGAATTTATTGTGGTGGCAATGGCTATTCCATTATAACACAGCTTGACCTCACTAGGCCCTAAATTAGCGGTTGAGTAATAATGCAGAAGTAAATTTGTTGTTATCATTGCTGTTTCAGCATCTAGTAGGATATTTTGCACCGTTCTAGTCTTAATGGTTAATTATGTGATTTTGAAATACTTATGTTAATTGGCGTGGGATTTTTCTCTTCCCTGTGCTATGAAACCTGCTAAATTTTGTTGTTATTCCGTGTCGAAACAAGCTAGTTAATCTGGTTGTGTGTGCAGTGCCGTTACAGTAAGTTTGTTTGTGTAGAGCTTTGTCTTGGCAAGATTGCAAGAGACAAAATTGAGGTAGTCATCTAGATTGTGTATAATTTTATATTATCTCTGGCTGGTATAGCCCATCAATTGCCAAAGTCAGTTGAATTATGCAGTTTAGAAATTTAATATAGGAAATTATCGCCGACAATGTCACGAGAGGTCCCAAATTCGATCCCTGCCCATAATACTTAAAGAGTTCAGTGTGACTGATAATACATATATGCTCAACTTGCATGATGTATTTTTTTAATCCCATTGCTGAAAGTGAAGGACAATCTTTGGATTAGTACCTCGTGGTTTAATCAATTCAGGGAATCTGTGCTTTCTCAATGCAACGCTACAGGCTCTTCTATCCTGTTCTCCTTTTGTTCAGCTTCTGCAGGAATTGAGAACTCGCAAAGTGCCTAAGGTTTCTTTTGTTTATTCGATTACTTTGTATTTACGTGGTTTTAGTAGAATTGCTATTTGCAAAAAACAAAATTTATATAGATTGCTGATATCAGAAAATAGGAAGCTACCTTGCCTATGCTTGTTCTTTTTCTGGCTAATCACTTAACTAATATGTTGTCCATTTGAATTTGATTTTATTAGGTTGGCTATCCAACATTGGGTGCATTTGCAGAGTTCATCTCTGAATTTGACATGCCTAATGGTTCAAGTTCAAAGAACAAAGATGTAGGTGTTCTTGAGACTGGTAGGCCTTTTAGCCCTGCCATGTTTGAAGGCGTTCTTAAAAATTTTACTCCAGATGTACGAACTAGCATCTCGGGCAGGTCAAGGTGTGTATCTGATCTGGGTCAATAATTTTCTGTTCTAGTTTTGTCTTTTTGTATTTTTTATTTCCATGTTGAGCCTTCTTATTGCAAATTTAATCCTTGATGGTACTGCTGGCTGAAATTGTAAGGCCAGACATGTAGTGCAATTTTGTTACTTTGTGATTCTCATAAATCTCGTATTGATCGGTAATGGTTTTCCTTCAGTATTATTAGGCTTGATTGATAATTCTCATGCTTTACAATTTGTCTGATGGCTTGAAAAAGTGTCACTGCCTGACATAGCTCAGGACTAAAATGCCTGTTGTTACAGTGTCTCCACTTAAATTGTTTATTTTCTGAAAACATGTTACACTTTTTTCCAATTTATTTCTCTGTTTGTGGTTTATTACACCTGTTGCAACCCATTTAATGTGAAATAATGGGTTAGACTGAGATATGTTAGAAGTTAACTTGTGATCGGTAAAATGTTGTAACAAATAGGTTAACAATCTTCTGTACTATTCTGAGTTCACCAATATTTTCATGGACCAAGGAAAGAAGAAACCTAGAACACCTCAAGAGTAATTACCAAAGGGTTAAATTTGCATTGTTTAGTTTCTTCTTTGTCTAGTGTAAATATTTATGTCGGCATGTCTATATTCTACTTTCTATTTTAAGTTGCCTAGTGAAACTATTTTTGTTTTTTAGACAAGAAGATGCTCAGGAGTTCCTTAGCTTCATTATGGATCAGATGCATGATGAATTACTTAAGCTTGAAGGACAGCCCTCGAGTATTAATGGGCTCAAATCATCTCTAGTATCTTCTACAGAAGAAGATGAATGGGAGACGATTGGCCCTAAGAATACATCTGCAGTAACCAGGACACAGAGTTTTGTTCCTTCAGAATTAAGTGATATTTTTACAATTGATCTTGATCTTGGTTTTTCTTTCTTTTTTCTTGCAGAGGAAAGAAGAACTTTTTTTTAGAGAAGGGTGGGTGACTATCAAAGAGCATTATGTCAGGCCTCCAAGATGGCGGAAAGAATTTCATCTTCAAGAGCATTTTGTTACTCTTCTTTGAGCCAGCAATTTTTATATTGTATTTCAAGGGATATATATAATGTCATAGTCTAACTGAAGTTGTATTAATTTATGCCAAGCCGTCCTTAGCTTGGGGTGGTTATCATTAACCGTATAGAATTTTGTATCTATAATTTAAAATTCCATTATAATAAGGTGGAAAATGTAAAATGTGCATCATATCTCAATCTCATCATTGTGTTTGCAAAATGATGCATGCCTCAGCTACTTTCAGTGTCAACAATGTCTCCAATTTCATAGGGTATGTATATCATTGGTAGGAAAAATGTAAGGGGAAATGTCTGATATAATCACTTTCTGTTTCTTTCTGCAGTTTTGTCTTGACAATTTCTATTTCTTTCCCCTTTTCTTTTCAGATTGCACAAGAAAAAGAAAAGCCGCGCCCAACTTGTTTATTGTATTTGTATTGCTCTTTTATTGCTTGTCTATTGCCACTTTATTGCTTGTTTATTGCTATCGTATTGCTTTTGTATCGCTATCGTATTGTTTTTGTATTGCATGTCTGTTATCACTTCATAATCTACGTGCCATTACTTTCGTATTGCTTTTGTTTATTGCTTTTTGGTTTGTTTTCTTAATTAATATAATTTGTTGCAGGGAAAGCAACTATGAGTTTGATTTATAAAAAGGATGTGACTTCCTTAATGGAATCACACAATAATAAATAATTAATAAAAAAAGCAATAACGGAATCACATTCTTATACCTTAATGGAATTGCATTCTTACACCAATAGCTAAACACGAATCAATCATATTGAAGAGATACATATACGGTGCTTGTTGTACCTTATTTATATGATAATGAATAAT